CTCAGGGTCCTTTAGAATGGTGCGCGGCGCAACTTGCTTTTGAAACGACCATGTTATCGAATGTATGTCTTCATTGGTTTTACCAAGCTGGTCCTTGAACATTCTGGTGACCATTCGCTGGTAGGTCGCACGCAGCGTTTTTCAAGGCCGAAAGGGCATCAACGTTTCGTAGGCAGTAAATGCCTCTAGAGCTGATGAAGCCGTTTTCTTCATTGGTCAGGACCGAACATAGGGATCTGGTGGTACCACTATATGGCGTCTAGAAAGCTCCATTGCGCTTCATGTCCAGCCGTGCGTCAAACCAAGTTGATCTATTCGTGAAGGGGGAAGCTTATCCTGGGGGCAAGCTTGTTTAAGGCTAGTGAATCAACGTCAGACTCTCCATGTTTCGCCATTCTTCTTTTTCACCACGACGGTGTTGGACAGGCCACTTTGGTATGCACTTCATCGAATGACTCCAAGCAGCCAAAAGTTTGTCCACCTCTTCAATCACTGCCATCGGTGTGTTGCGTGATGACGTTCTACTCTTCTGAAACGGCCGCGCTCCTATTGGATACGTTTGAGTCGCATGAAACACAAGGCATAGTTTGGGGGTCTCAACCCAGGGTGTCATAGGCCGACCAGTAGCCGAACACTTTCATGTTTTTACGGAGTTAGAAGCCAGTAATTGCTCTTAATCTCTCAACAGTGAGGAAAGTGACCGAGCAGGAAAACTTATCTGGTGTTTCCTTCTTCTACAGCAGACCGTCTCTAGTCCTCTAACCATCTTCTCGGTCGGCACCTCCGCCGACGTCTTCCCCAAAACTGGCTGGTCACGGTACTTCTACCATCTGTACTTGTCGCCAGACTTGCTTGGTTTTCATGCGGCGGCAATGAAGCAGTGTTTGGCTGGCCACATGGTCTCCACGAATCTCCTCTACTCCAACTTGAGTTGGATAAGCGAACGAGTTTGGTGATAAGTGGAAGGAACTAGCGCTCCATCTGGTTGAATCCAAGGTCGGCCGAGGATGGCATTGTAGGGAGATGGGTGTTTACCACCAAAGAAGTCAACAAGCCACCCTTTTGGGACTTAGCTATGACAGGCAGGTTTATTCGGGCGAACGGCCAATTTCTGTTTGCGAGTTAAAAGCCAACTAAAGGGGAGGTGGCAGGTGTCAGGTGTTGCTTACTGAGTGCCAGCTTCTTGAAAAAGTTCATAATACATGATGGTCTGCGGCAATTCCTTGGTACAATCAAGACTCGCTTCACAGTCGAACTTGTTGGCCACACCAACATGTACGATGAGGGGCATCGGTGGGGGTTACTAGGATTCTCTCTAGGGTGTCTTTCAGTGGAACACGAGTTAAACCTGAGAAGTCTGGCTTCTGTCTTGAGACTTTTTAAGGAGGAGTTCCTACCGACATACTGTCGATGTGGGGGCACTTGGATTTCTCCTCGCAATTATGTTTTTCTCTTTCAGGGTCAGTCATCTCCATGGATGAACGTGTGATGACCAACGCTCCGGGGCACTGGTTTTCTCAGGAGGGGCTTGTCTAGTCCCTGCTTTTCCCTCGTCTTATATCAAACGTCTATCCATTAGTTGGAGGTGTCCTGCGTAACTAAGTCCTCCAGGTGTTGTTTGAGAGCTCTGCATATTTTGCGTCTTCTGTCCCTTCTCTCGATGATGAGGTGCAACGCAGTGTTTGATTTGCGCCAGCAGGGTCTCCAGGCGTCTAAGCTGGCCCAAACAAAAGAAGGCTTCCCCTTTAAGTTTCTCGACGGCCTGATATATTGGCTCTTTGAAAGACGGTGGTGAATTGCCTTCATAAGAACTTTGGCCCTTTTCCTCCTCATTTTCTGCTGTGGAGCGGTTCCTTTGGCCAATAGTTCTTGGGCGCTGACTCATCCCTCCTTAGGCTGCCTACCCGTCTTAGGTGGTCGAGGCGGTCTGACTCTTTCTTCAGCCAACCGCAACATTGTAGCATGAAGCATGCGTCATCTCACACGCGAGCTTGTTGCTCTATTCGAGCCCTCAAATCTTCATAGTGGAGGCGAGGTCGTTCTTGTCAACGATGTCTTAGCTTGTGCAAATTGAGATAGGTGCCTTGCTTGATAGTATAGGCACGCCAATGGTTCACTGCCAAACATTTCCTCCAGTCACCATACTCCATCCCAATACCGTCGCGCGTATTTGGCGTAGGGATTTCTTTCCTGTCCTTTCGGATATTGAACAGACGGTATCTAATTGCTTTGGGGACTACTACTGTTGGAGACGAACGCGGCTAAGAACGCCTCCGAGAGGCTGCAAGTCCAGTCATAAATCGAGCCCATTGGGGAGTTTGTCAAACCAATCGGAGCCCGAAGTTCTCCAGGCTAGAGGGAAGACTTTGCACATGAGTGCGTCATTACGGGTTATTCCAGAGGGACATCATCTGGCGTAAATGGCTGATGTGGGTCAGAGGTCCGTCTGTTCCATCATAGAGAATGGAATTTCGGCGGGCTATACTTCCGTGGAGGTTCTTAGCAGCTTCTACCGTCTGAGGAGAAGGGGGTGGACACGCAACGCGGTCATAGAGCACGACAGCTCCTTGGTTGGTTGTAATGGACCTGGCAGGGGTTAACTGGGTCCCTTTCCTACTGAAGCCGGCGGGTCCTCCTCCCTATCTCCTCGACGACCTTCTCCTCCCCTGCATAGCCGTCGTGCCTCTTCTCTGTTATCGTCAGCCAACTTCTCAATCGTGCGGCCGCTCGTCGTGGCGACAATGAAAGGGTTCCAGATAGGCGGCTGACAGTCCTCTGCCTTTATGAAGATTCCCTCGTGGTTATTTTTTAAGTTATTCGTCCTACGCTGGCCCCTTCACTATGCACCGAAATCGGCCGCCACGCTCTCTATGAGCAGGCCACGGCTGGAGTGGCTCCTTGTGAGGCGGCGGAGAAGTACGTCTCCTTTGCGATGGTCCGCCAACGAGATTTTCTTGGCTCCGCTGGGTCGCCATGAACTTCAACAATTGGGTACGAAGCTCAGTGATGCTCCAAACCCATTGAGTCGATGATCGCGGTCACAGGTGGGCTTTCTCAAACAAAAGGCGTTGAGATGTCTCAGCGGCAATGACACGGCGTCACTCTCCGCCGCATTGGGTTTCTGACCATCGTGGTCCACAAGGTCATCGTGCGCTGGAGGGAATGCCAGACCCTATCTTTGTTCTCTCCGTCATTGGGAGTCCTCTCTGCTAAGCCCAAGAGTGGGTGTATCTTCGATTCCCATCGCGGAGGTCGTTACGAAAGCAAACATGGTTTTCCCACAGACGGCGCAATGGCGGGGTGATTTCCGCACTATGAAGAAGGGTTGAAACTTCGTGGCATGAACAGCGCGCTTTGGAATTGAAGATCTGCACAGAATAACAAACGGTGAGGCTGCCCGACTCGGGGTTTGGTCGGAAACCCCCGATGTAAAGTCAGGGACTTTAGGAAGAAGAAGAAGAAAGAATGTTGTGTAATGTGTTAAGTGTGTGTATTTTTCGGATCCCTCAGAGTGAATAGTGTTCACCTTTTATAGGAGAAGGTTGTTTGTCGTTCAAGTCCTTCTCTCTCCCGCCATCTGTCCAACGTGTCTTATTCGTGGTCGCCTCCTATTGGAGGAGGACGACCACTTCCGCCTGACACTCGGGTGCAGGTCATGTTTTGTTTGTCTCATTAGCGGACATCTCTCTTGGAAGAGGACGACCACTCTGCCTGCCATTCAGACGCAGGTCTGTCATTATATGCTCTTGGCCCTCTGCACCTCCATGTCTCCACGTTATGTTCATACAAAGGGAGAGGAGCAGAGTTGTTTGTCTCTAGTGGACCCAAGAAAGATCTTCAGTGAATTGGCCTTCTCTAAGTTGGTCTGCCTCTACAACGGTTGTCCAACCAAGAGTCCAACATGTTGCTCAACCCACTTGCGAGTGGTTCTGTCCATCCAGAAGGTCCAATATGTTGCTCAACCCACTTCGGAGTGGTTCTGTCCATCCAGAAGTCCACCATGTTGCTCGGCCCACTTTGGAGTGACGCTCGTACATTGGGCCGAACTCCTATGATTGCCTTACTTCGGAGCAAGTGTTGGCCATAGGGCCGAGGTCCGACCTAGCTCCATCTTAGAGTGAGTATTGCATTGGGCCTAGCACCAAGACTTGATTAATTTTACACCACTTCAGTACTATTGCATAATTTACAATTATTGAAATAGTGAGCAATTCCGCAACAATTCCTAGTAATATTATACAAAGCTAACCTAAATAGTCTATATAAATCTATTCGATCAATTTCATGAAAAGATATATAAAATCTGTTTTAAGCTTGTTGTTCAAATTGTGAAATTAAATAAATAGAATATATGAAGAAAAACCAAATATATACCAAGAACATATGCTGATAATTACAATAAATTTCAACAGAAATACACAAAAACAAATAAAGAGTAAAGAGACAAAACCGAATCCTGCACGGAAGCAGTTTCCTTAAAATAGATTTCGCCGCCTCACGGGTCGAGTGCCTTGAGAGAAACCCGGCGTCTGTCTCCCAGGATACGACGGTCAAAACCAGCTACGGCAGAAGCACTATCTGTCTAGCTTAGCGAACAAAACAATGGCAGGACTCTTTCACAATCGGAAACTATCAAGCAAAACTGACTTGTAAAATGGAAGCAAAATTTCTATATTGAAACTTA